ATTATTTGTAATAGCCAGAACCTGGAAACAACCTAGATGTCCTTCAATGGAAGAATGGATGAAGAAAGTGTGGAATATATACACATTAGAATACTACTCAGCGGTAAAAAACAATGACTTCTCGAATTTTGCATGCAAATGGATGGAAATAGAAAACACTATCCTGAGTGAGGTAACCCAGACCCAAAAAGATGAACATGGGATGTACTCACTCATAATTGGTTTCTTGAGATAAATAAAGGTCCGTGAGTCTATAATTTGATATCCTAAAGAAGCTAAATAAGAAGGTGACCCCAAAAAAAAACATATAGCTATCCTCCTGGTTATGGGAAGTAATCAAGATTGCCGGGCAAAAATTGGGATCTTGGGGGTGGGGTGGGTGGGGGTAAGGGGACATGGGGAGAGAAAAGTGAGAAGGGGAGGTTGGGGGGAACTTGGGGAAACGGGATGATTGGGATAAAGGAAGGTTGGATAGGGGAGCAGGGAAACACATATCTTAATTAAGGGATGGCTCAGAGGCCATGCTACAGTGCAGGTATCAGGAGAGAGGGCTCAGAAATCCTCCTTCTGCCTGAAAGACCACATGAGACACTGTTAGAGCAGCTCTCAATGTAAACAAAGCCTGTCTTGGATGTAGTCCCCTCCTCTTCCCACTCCCATTCTTCATAGCAACCAAAGCAAAAGCAAAGGTCATATGCAACACTGAAAACCACTGAGTAGCCCAGGCTCACAGCTTAGCTCTAGATATAGCCGGCAGATGAAATGTCTCCTTATGGGTGCACAGAACATAAGGCCAACACTCCAGGATGGTCACTGAGAGAGAAAGGATGTATGAAGGCTGCTACCCCAACAAACCAGCCACCAATCTGCTTTGTTTCAGCCCTGTTCCCAGTTTTTAGACCTATATCTGATGACTAGAGAGGAATTCAGGTCCCCAGAAGAGAGAATGCTGCAGCATCATAACATGAAGATGCTTGAATGGCCCCAAAGAGCATCCCAAGTGACTTACAGCTGTGTGCTGGGTCATGAAACACCAGGAAAACGGTATTGTATGCCTTGTCCTATGTGAGCTTTATACCTGGTTTCTCAAGGAAGTCCATCTGAAAGATGGGCTCAGTAGGATCTCCTGCACTTACACTTCTGAACAAATGATGTCATTAAATTCAAAGTGAGATGATCCATTTCCTGTGAATTTGTTTACTGGCCTTTTTAGTGCACCAACCTCTGAGTCATATAAACAAGCAAGCAGGACCACACAGTCACAGGCCATTGGAAGCCCTCCCTCCAGCATAATATGTGGGTCATGTGTGAATTTCACGATTTAAGTATTAGAAGAAAATGAATGATAGCTGAAGAGAGTCTTAGAAGCAAGGGAATGAATGCCTCAAACATAAAGCTCATACAACAGTTTAGCTACTTTCACGTGGCTCTGATAAAATACCATGGCCAAAAGAAGCTAAAGGAGGAAAGACTATTGTGGCACATGGTTCTAGAGAAATAGACTCCACATGGCAGGGAAGGCATGGAATGGTGGCAGGAGCAAAGAAGCGGCTTGATCACATTTCATTTCCACACAGAAAGCAGGGAGAATGAAGCAGAAGTGTGATGAGGCTATAAACCATCCAATTTCACCCCAAGTTACACGCTTCCTCCAGCAAGGCTTGATGTCCTAAAGGTTCCGCAACCTTCCCAAAGAGCACCACCGAGGACCAACTGTTCAAATATATGTGCCTAAGGAGGACATTTGTAATTCAAAACTCAACAAGCCAGTTTAAAGTAACTCAGAAGATCCAAGGTATGCTTCTCCAGCCTGTTGCAGGCACCACAGCTCTCCAGTGAAGCAAAAGCAGCCTGCCACATCTTGCAGAGTCACAGGGATGCCACTTTTTCCCATCCACATGTAGTATGTGAGAAAACAAAGCCTACCCAAGAGAGTGGAAGTAGCCTGTCCATGTCTTACTTACTGGGCTTACTGGGGTAGGGCTTCTTCTTGTCCATATGAAATGTCAAAACCAGCAGTGAATGTAGGACTCAGGGTAGTACCATATGATCTCATTTGCCTAGATGAGGAAGAAAGAAGGTGGTGGAGGGGAATCTGGGGAACAGGCCCTCACAGGATCAGGAAGAGAGGGGACACAACAGCAATGGCTAGAGAGAGAAAAAAAAATCCAATCACCACATAGGCCCCCAGAAGGCCAGAGCTTCTCCAGCACGTGTGGTGTCTAAGCGCTAAGTGTGTGAGAGAAGAAAGACAAGTCCTTCTCCAGGAGTCAGTGCCTGAGCACCTCCTTCAGGGGAAACACTCACCAGCCCTGGAAGGCTCCTTCAGGGGAAAAACTCACCAGCCCAGGGAGGCTGCAGGCTCCAGGGACCTGGAATGGGATATTCATTGATATGCAAATATCTTTACAAGCACTTAGTTAATTCTAAGTCAAAAGTAGCCCTTAAACAGAGACAAAGGACCTGAGATTTCTGTCGGTGCTCCAATGTGGGTCTCTGTCTCTGTCTCCTTACATCGCCTGATGAAGATTAATATTCAGGAGGATGCCTATCTGTTTTTCTTTGGGTTCTCCTTATTTAGCTTCTCTAGGATCACTAATTATAGGCTCAATGTCCTTTGTTTATGGCTAGAAACCAAATATGAGTGAGTACATCCCATGTTCCTCTTTTTGGGTCTGGCTTACCTCACTCAGTATAGTGTTTTCTATTTCCAAATCAGGAGCAGAAGGAGAGAGAGCACGAGCAAAGAACTCAGGACCGCGAGGGGTGCACCCACACACTGAGACAATGGGGATGTTCTATTGGGAACTCACCAAGGCCAGCTGGACTGGATCTGAAAAAGCCTGGGATAAAACCGGACATAGTGGACAATGAGGACTACTGAGAACTCAAGAACAATGGCAATGGGTTTTTGATCCTACTGCACGAACTGGCTTTGTGGGAGCCTAGGCAGTTTGGAAGCTCACCTTACTAGACCTGGAAGGAGGTGGGTGGTCCTTGGACTTCCCACAGGGCAGGGAAACTTGATTGCTCTTTGGGCTAATGAGGGAGGGGGACTTGATTGGGGGTGGGGGTGGGAAATGGGAGGCGGTGGCAGGGAAGAGACAAAGGATCCCTGGGGAGGAAGAGTTAAGGTACTGAAATAGATACTCACAGGAAGAACACAGAGAAAGTGGCCCCCTATCATCCCAATCAAACAAGAGAAGTAACTGCAGGGGAGAAATGTGCCAAAGATGTTCCCCAGATGAGGAAGCTGGACTGAGTAAGGAATATTTGAAGGGATGATAGACTCAGGGAACCTAGGACTCGGGACAAAAACAAACCCTCTCAGGTGGAGGGCACCTTCATCCTGTATTTCTGAGTCAAATAAGTAAAGGAGGTATGGTGGCAGCGTTTTTTGAGGTGCAAAAGGGTTAAGACAAAGGAGTTATGGGCTAGGATAGTGGTTTTCAACCTGTGGGTTACATTATGATTCATAGCAGTAGCAAAATTACAGTTATGAAATAGCAATGAAAATAATGTCGTGGTTGGGGTCACCACAACATGAGAAGGCCCATCAAAAGGTTGCACTAATATTAGAAAGGCTGAGAAGCACCGGGAGAGGAGCACGGGAGTTGTTATGGAGCAGCATTTCCCTACCAACTGGGCAAGGGCCATATAATGTTGGTGGGTAGATGAATTCAGGCTGATGTTCCAAGGATGATCCCAGAGTGCTGGCTGAGTGCCCACCAGGATGCTATGAGAGCAGTAGTCAGGAAGGCAGGCTCTAAGGACAAGGTGGTCTGAGAGGAGTGGTAGGAAAGCTCATTCCAGGACTGGTAGCTGTCTTAGGGTTTCTATTGCAGTGAAGAGACACCATGACTATGGCAACTCATAACTGAAAAACATTTCATTGTGGTAGCTTACATTCTCAAAGGTTCAGTCCATTATCATGATGAGACAGAGCAGCACGCTGGCAGACATGGTACTGGAGCTGAGAGTCCATGCATTTTGACTCAGAGGCAACGGAAGTGTTCTAAAGTACTGGGCATGGGTTTGAGTTTGAGGCATGTGTGAGACCTCAAAATTCATCTCCCACAGTGATACACATCCTCCAACAAGTCCATACCAATTCTAACAAAGCCACACCTCCATTCCCTATGAGTTTGTGGGGGCCAATTATATTCAAGCTACCACAGTTATGAATTGTTAAGTCAAATGAAAGTAAAGACCTGGTAAGGTGATTCTTCCAAGGCCTTGTGGATACTGCAGTAGAAAACTAACCTTGTACTTTCATTCCAGGGAACAGGTCAGGCTTCTGCTGTTCAGTCTGGCCCCAAGGAAACTGTGCTATAGTGTGTACCCCACTCAACATACTCACTACAACATACTCCTGGGGGAGCTATATGAATCAGGATAAGGAGCCCTTCTACAGTTCTTCACTAGGAAACACCTACTTTAAGAATTTGGCTCCTCGGACAAATTCCAGCTCTTTGACACAGCAGGTATGGGGGAAGGGGGCAGTCCACATTCAGGGTGCCCTGGCTCATGATTAGAAACTGTTCCAAGCATGTGCTCAGGTGTCAGAAGGAAGCCAGCTGCCATCCAAGGAGGAAGAAGTCCACCAGGAGAGGCCAACCCAGAAGGGAATCTTGACAAGTGGTCTTTAATGCCCTGACATGCTGTGCAGATTCTCTCCCCTTTACCTTGGAGAATGCAGGAACTCTTTCTCTCTCTGAGAGAACAGCTACAGTCTTGGGTGGCTTCCATGAGTCTAACACAAGAAACATAGGGATCCTTGAAAAATGCTACCAGAGCTGAGAGACAAAAGTGCCTAAATCTGGGGCATTCGATGAAAAGTTGGGACTTGAAGGCCTGGGGCATCTAAGACAGAATTGAGATAGGTATTGCAGAGTATGAACACTGAGAAGTCCTAAGAAGTTGACCTAGTGAAGTCTACTGGGTCAGAGACAAGGAAGTGCACAGCATGGCCCTGGTCCACACTAGAGAATATGGATGAAGAGAGCTAGGATTGATATCTTGTGCTGGGACCCCAAAACAAGAAGACCTCAAAGAGTGATGGGGTTAGGAGAAGTTGTAGCGTTGTAATGTAGAAGGTTGGATGTGGAGGATGGTTGGAGAGGAGCTCTCCAGAACAGTCTCATCCAGAGGCTCAGGAGAGAGTCAAGCAGCAGATAAAAACTGTCCTCAAGAAGGAGCCCTAAGAACCTGAAAGAGGACATGTTTCCTTAAGGTGCTTCAGAGGTAAGAACCTAGAGCTTGGCTGCCAAGTCCACACTTGAAATAAGCCTTAATAAGATCAGGGCCATTGGCAGTTTTGGACAGTGTACCTGGAGAAAAGAATGCTGACTTCAGGAATTCAGCCATGCCCTGTAACACTCAGCCGAAGGCCACGGAAGTCCCAGACAAAAATTCCTGGCCTTTTTACAGCACCCATGCCTTCAATGGTGCGCCCCTGGAAAGCACCCTCAGGATATGGTTAGGTCCCTAAGTTACCCCTTCCTTGTCATTTTGCCTTACTTAAGGATCTGCCTCACAATCTCTGAGGTCTCCTTCCAGTTACACCTAGCCACTCCCAAGCCTCTTTGACTGTACCTACCATGCTCCTCCAAAGCCTCACCAGCATCTATCCAGCAACACACACATCACTGCTCCTATTTCTACCTCAGCTCTCACAACCTGCTCTGCTCCTCTTCCCGCAGCCCCACTCCAAATGCCTTACCTGGTAACCCACAGGTCTGTCCTGAACTTCTTCCTGCCCCACAGTACTCAACCACTAACAGCCTTACCTTGTTCTCCCAGAAGCCCCTCTACCTGTACTACACCACCCACTGGCCCACCCTGCTTCTCCTTCATCTCTGCCCCTGGCTATCCTCAACCCCTTCTGCCCTGTTTCTCCATTAGCGCCAGCCTACATCACGTTAGAAGCCGAAGCTCTCTCCCTACTTCCTACATCACTGCTCCCAGGTACTCACCCGCAGAGGTCAGCAGTCACAGCACAGCCTTCAGCACCCGTCCCAACTCCACTAAACAGCAGCCAAAGCTCCACATCATACTTCGCCACTCGCAGCACTGCCCTGGTTCTCCCAAGGACTTGCCCACCTAGGCCAGCACTCACTACCTTTCCAATTACTCTCACTTCAGCATGCACTGCTCTGCCCTCCACTCACTGCATCATACTGTATCAATATCCAAAGCTCCAGCACCATTGGGTATGGCACCACTGAGAACCAAGCCTGTTACTGTTGAGACATACACTTACAGCTGTACCCAGCACTCCTACTTCAGCATACAGTCTAGCTTTTCTCCATCTAGCGGCCCTCTGCCATAGTCACTTAGTAGTCAAAGGTCTCCCTCCCCCTCCGTAAATTAATAACTACAGCCTCTTCCTGGTACTCTGTAGACCCTGCATGCCTAGGGCAACACTTGCAACACCACCCAGCACTCCTACCTCAGCATGCACAGCACTGCCCACCGCTCCAACCTCAGCATCCAGAGCCCCGCCCACCCCCGGGCATCAAACATGCGCAGTACCACCCACCACTACTAACCCAGAATGCATGCCCCACATGCCACTTCTATATCACCACAAACGCCCCCCTTCTCTTTCAGAGTTTCTAGGCCTTTATTATGTCAATGTCCAAAACCTTGTTCCTGCTTCGTACCAATCCCCAAACCGCCTCCAACCTCTGCCTCAGCAAACACAGCCCCACCCACCACTCCTAATTCAGCAAGCACAGCCATTCCCTCCTCCTCCCCTCCTGTAGCCCTCCATCTCACTTGCCAGGATCCAAAGCTCAGCTCCGTCAACCTATCTCACCGCTCACTGGCTGGTACTTTGAGGTCCTGCCCACCTTGCTAAATATTCACAGTCTGGCTACCACTGCCATTTCAATACGCACAGCCCTTCCCTTCTCCTTTAGCAGATCTGGGCCAAATTAAATCGGGATCCAGTAACCCGGAAGCCTCACCCAAGCAGAACAGTACTCACAATCCCGCCCAACTCGGATCACTACCTGGCCCAGACTACAAGCATTGGCAAATCCGTCTGTTCCCAAGGGATTCTTTGGAGTAGAAACTCCCATTCCCAACTCCTACCTGGTACTCACAGCCCAGCCCAGCCCCGCCCAGCCCAGCCCCGCCCCGCCCCGCCCCGCCCCGCCCCGCTCCAGACCAATGCCTAACCTCAGAACTCACAGCTCTTCCCTGGACTCATTCCAAGCCCCTCCTCAACAAGCCTCTCCCGTCACAGTTCCCACCCTGCACCAGGGCACACTGTTCCTACTTCCGAATGTCTCTGCAGACCCATCTGACTAAATATCCGGTTCCTTTTCTCACTTCTTTCCTTTCTCAGCCGCCTACTACAGACCCTGACCCAGCTTTATCTGCCAGATTGCTTTAAGAAACCGGTAAGTCCTACAACATATCCTAGCATTCAGCGTGTCTTACTGCTCAATTACGTAAGCCCGTGCCCTCCTATCCTTGATGCATGAATGGTATCTGTAGTTCTAATTGGCTGCGAAAGTTTAAGCACGTTGAAGGACGTGGTGTGCGTGCTTTCGCAAGATTATGTGCACAGGATGTGGATTTGTCTCTGCGAGCGTTCCTCTGTTTAAAGCAGTTAGAGTTAAAAAGTCCCAGAACACTGGACGGCACCAGCCAAATGTTTTCCTTCCTTTCAAGCCAATGTTAGCCACCCAAGCTTAGGAGCCTTTGGTACTGGAGGCCTCCGGGAACGCTGAAAGGCGGAAGACTGCTGTAAACTCGAGTCTGCTGAATGCTAAGCAGTAACACTGAAGAGACCCACAGCAAAGGACAAGTAACCTCTGAGTCAGTCTGTGAGCTTTCCCCATCCCTACTGAAGGTACCCCAGGCTCTGGCTAACCCCACTGTGTGACTTGTTACCCATGCAGGGCCATCCCACAAGGCTGGTCTAGCTCGAAGCTGGTTGGTCTCTGCCTGATCCATCTTGGCAGCATCTCACTGTCTCTCCGAAGTGTGGATGCAGGCGGATGAACACCATGCTACTCCACAGGCCCGGGACCCTCCTTACTTTTAGACTGAAAACACTGGTATTCGGTGTACCAGAACATTTCCATGCAACCACATTCTGTGTGGCATTATTTTTCTCCTGTTAGATCGTGCGTGCTTGGATCAATAATGGGAACCACTTGCAGAATTAACTTTCTACATCAGGTGGTCCTTGTTCCAGCCAGAAAGGGACTTTGAACCAATCTTTGAGTGAGAAGCATGTGTCAGCTTGCTTCTCACTCAAAGAATTAGGTCAGCTCTAATTCTTATCTCTAAAACTTGCTGCCAGTAGCCAATATAACTATCTTTTACTTGCTGTTTTCTCTTTATCTGCCTTCTGCTTGTGCAAGTGGAGAAGCAAAGACAATGGAAAGCAGGCAACTCCTTCATCTTCAGAGGAGGCTTGTCTGCATTGCCTTGAAGAAGGGCACTCGGCTGGTTTTGCTGCAGGGCAGTGAATGAAGTGGGGAAAGAGGAAATGTCTGGGGTGGGCAGCCAGATTACAAGGGACCCTGAGGGGCCTACTGAAGTGGGTGGAGTCTGGGCTGGGTGGGACAGAAGCCCTTGGCAGGTTTCAGCCAAAGAATGAGGTGATGTGCTGACCCCAGTACCAAGGTACTAAGTGCAGTGTGGATAGTAGAGGGCAGCAGGCAAGGTTCACAGCTCAGAACCTCCAAAAACTAGTGCTTGGAGAGGCAGTGGATGGTGGGGGCCTGATAGGATGGTGGCTGTGAAGATAAGGGAAGATGTTGAGGGAAGCATTCATAGGCAAGTACTGCTGTATACCAGGTGGTGGGAGGAGGAAAGAGAAAGCATAGGAGCTACTACTACATCTAGGCAACAAAAATAGGGCAGATTATGACCGCACTTACAAAGGGAAAGCCAGTGGATTTGGGTTCATAGAAGTTGAATTCCCAAGTCCAACAGCCTGGATCAGTCACCTGAGTAAGAAGGTGTGGGCCATGTCATAGGAGCTAGAGCAGGCTAGCGAGCATGGAAAGGGAGCAACCAGGGATGCTGAGGTATTAAGTGTTGTGAAGGCAGAGTTGCCATAGGCCAGTTGTTCTCCCTATAAAACCAGGTTTGTGAAGCATGTTGCGGGATGGAGCACGAAAGGAAGGGAGGTCAGAGACTTATGTGTGCAGCAGTCTTGTGAAATTTTTGCTGTGAGTGCTGTGTAAAGAAGGTAGGATAACATGCTCTTTGGAGGGATACCTTGCTCAGCCTAGATATAGTAGGGAGGGCCTGCATCTTGCCTCAAAGCAATATGCTAGACTTTGTTGACATCCCATGGGAAGCCTTACCCTTTCTGAGGAGTGGATGGGGGTGGAATGGGAGGGAAAGATGGAGGAAGTGGGAGGAGGGAAGGGAGTCAGAACTGGGATTGGTATGTAAAATGAGAAAAGATACTTTTTAAAATAAATTAATTTTAAAATGTGGAAAATATTCATACATTGTCATAGCATGAATCTTATGGAGAAAGATGTGTTTATTATTTTTGTCATGCTTGTTCAATCATAAGTAATAAGAAGATATCCTTTGTTGTTTATAAAATTCTGAATTAGAACAGAACATTAAAATCTAGCAAACAATTTTTAAAGAGGTAGGTTAAACCTGAAGGCATGAGTGCCTCGCAGAAGAGACTTCCTTTGTATGGTAAAAGAGGTGTGCAGACAGTGATGCTGAGCAAGAGCATGCTGGCAGGACAGACGCTCTAGATCCTAGGACCTAGAATGAGTGCCATAGGCTGGTCCTGAGTGACACAGAACTGACTTGGGAAATGTTTTAGTTTCACTTTGTTGCAGTGACAAACACCATGGCCAAAAGCAATATAGGAAAATGTTATACTTTGATTTTCGTTGGCTGTGATAAAATATTGACAAAAAACTTCTGTGTGTGGGGGGTAGCATTATTTGACTTGTATTTCCAAGTCACGGTGCATCATTGAGGGAAGTCAAGACAGGAATGTAGAAGGCAGAGCACTGCTTTCTTGCTTGCTCACAGGCTCATGTTTAAGCTAGCTTTCTTGTACAGCTCAGGGCCACCTGCCTGGGGATTAATAATCTAGACATTCTTCCACAGGCTAATCCGATGTAGAAAGAAAATTACTTTACAGATTGCAGTCTGTCATTGGAGGAAGTCAGGGCAGGAATTTAAGGGAGAAACTTGAAGCCAGACCTGTATACTATTCAGCGTAGTGACCAAGGAGCTCACTCCCAGGCAAGGAACAGAAACCAAGAAGGCATGCTGTTTGATTGCCTGCCTATAGACTCAGGCTTAGCTAGCTTCATATATAGCCCAAGATCACATTCCTTGATGTGCTACTGCCCACAGTAGGCTGGACCCTCCTACAATAATTAATACTTAAAATTCCCCGCACAGATGTCCACACTGGCCAATGTTATCTGGACAGTCCCTCAACTGACTCCCTTCTGAGGTGAGTCTAGGCTACGTCAAGTTGATAGTTAAAACTAAGTAGGACTGTTATTGCTGCCAGCCTTGCCAAGCTGAAATATGATGGGAGAAAGGGATGCCTGGCACACTGCCTTTATCCTGGAAGGGCCATGTCGTGTAACTGAAGGAGGCCCATGAGACTACAGTAATATACTTTAAAAAGGGTCAGAAAGGCCAAAACCAGGATGGAGTGGGGGGGCAATTCATGGGTAGCCAGCAGAGCCGGGATGGAGCCCTGTGCTCAGTGCCCCTGTTTTTGCTGCTGCCATGATATTGAAAATGGTTACCCTTGGCTCTATCCGCAGGAAATGTATTCTTGGCACTTCATGCAAATGGAAACTGGGTGGTATGCTAAGACTGAGCAGAGGTTCTGACCTCATGTCCCTGGCTCTGTCAGCACGACCCTATCAGTTTCTAAGGCACAGTGTGTCTCTCACAAGGGACACACATGACTGCAAGGAACTGGATAGGAGGTGTGCAAAATCAGGTCACTGCCACCCTACGCCATTGCTTTCTCACTCAGCATCTTTGTCTGCTTGGCTATACTAGGGTCTTAATAGTCATACTGACTCTGCTGATTCCTTTGAAGATGCGATTCACTATCCAAAGATTCTGATCACCTAGGAACTAGAACATAGAAAGTGTATGAGGATTGGTACCCTAGTGCCTCGTGTCATCATTTGTTTCTTTAGGTTCCTGTCATGGGGTGCAACAAACTGCTTGAGAAGCATGACACCCACAGGATCCAGGAGGAGACATAGATGAGGCTACTTGAGGTCAAAGGGAACCAAAAGTAAATCTAGTTTCCATTTCAAGGATTGGTGTTCAGTAACTCTGATTGGAACTGGACAGTTCCAGTCCTATATGGCCTATAATGACAGGACCAGGAATCAAAGAGTATTGTACAGTGACATAGAAAGAAAAAGACAAAAGCTTAGACTGTCCCTCTGTGCTAAAAAGCCAGCCTACTCAGATGTGAAGCCTGACTAGGTCAAGATGGCCTTCCCTCCTTTGTGTTTCCCTAGAGCTCAGTGACCTCTGTCAGCACTGATCACGCTATTCTTATGGTACCTTCCTCTAGCTATCCCCATCCTATTCTGTGAGCTCCCCAAGACTACATGGACCATGCATCATCCTAATTGCAACCATTGGCATTGGGCCTGGCATTGAGCAGGGCACCATTAACCTGTAACAGGAAGTATGGCAAGTTCAATGGCATTTCAGGAGACATGGGAAGCCTTTGGGGAAGGTGAGGCCTCATGAACATGAGCCTGGAGAGCTGAGTTGTGATGTGCTTCTGTGTTCAGGCGCAAAGACTCTGAGGAAAATGAAGTTTCCCTGCCTCTCCTTCCGGCAGCCCTATGCTGGTTTAATCTTAAATGGAGTCAAGACTCTTGAGACTCGTTGGCGTCCCTTGTTGAGGAACCATCAGAAATGTACCATCGCCATCCATATTGCTCAGAGGGACTGGGAAGATGATGCCTGGCGGCAGGTGCTGGTAGAGAGGTTGGGAATGACCCTGGCACAGATTCAGACCTTACTACAGGAAGGAGAAAAATATGGCCGAGGTGTGATAGCTGGTAAGTGAGGATGTACCAAATATGA